CACGCGAGATTATGGTGTTCTCGTGGCATACACAATGACATGTCGCTGGAATCAAAACTCACGCCGATGGAGACAAAAATGACGGCACAGTAATCAATACTAAAGCAGTATTGCATGACGACAATAAAAAGACAAAAAGCAAACCTCAAAAATGGACTCGTGAATATTCGTTTGGTCACCGCGCAAAGCGAAATGGTGAAATAGCAAACGTTGTCCTAATCAGTCACCATACATATATACTGAAATATTTTGTTCCCGCACGAAGCTTCCATAGTTGTGGGACTGATGAAAACATCTCCATCTTGTGTTTTTAGGTGTTTAGGCGGCCCACATTGACTTATCATTAATGCAAGCATCAGTCGTACCGCTGGGATGGAGAAGCACAGGTGTTTTCTTCCTGGGGATACTACTAATGTGGCCGACACCCATTGCATGAACTCTTACAGTCTACATACCTGTAGCTACCATCAGGGGGTCGAGCCTCCAAAAACAATAACGAAGCTCTTTACTGTTAACGTTGATTTGTGTTAAATGTTTTGAGCATATACCGTAAGCTAACTGACTGTGGCATGCATCTCCGTTCCAAGAGAGTCGTCTCATGCTAATGAACAACTGATATGCATTTGTATGAATGTTTTTTCGGACTGTGTTAATTAGCTTCCGCCAAAGTTGAGATGAACCTCAGAGTACATTTTGCATGCAAGTATATCACGTAGATCGTTTATATCATGCTAAATGATGCTTCACATACACAAATACATATCTACAGAAACAAGGCAAAACATGTTCTTTTGTATATATTTATATAAATAATATATATAAGCTCAGGTGGTACATCTTCACATGGAAAATTAATGTAGGTATTTATTAAAGAGTGAATTAATATCTTTCGTGTCCAATAAATGCTCCCTTGCACAGAAGTCAATAATTCTGAGTTCATGCTTACTCAGGTACATGTATAGCAACTACTATTTCAAAACATAGGGGTATCAACTTATTACTGTACATCATTTCACTTCAGACAACCTGTACCTGTATGTTGGTTGATCGGGGGAAATGCTGTAATCCGTAATCTCTGTAATTAGGTATCTCATGATCTAGCCCCACGCTCCTTAACTCCAGAACTTCTTTAACTCATTCTTTTATCATAGAATGAATAACTGGAATTAAGGAATTATTCCATTACCTATGTACATGTATGTTCTTATATCCAGTAATGCTTTTCCAACGAAAACATTAAATTTCTTTAAATTAAGAAAAGGTCGTGAATCTAGGCTTGACCTTCACATCAAATTGACCTGTGTTTACACTCGTATGGTAAAGGGAAGAGGTGGGGGATACAAAGACAAATAATCAAACATAAGACAACCATTTCTGGATACGCTTCATGTAGACGAAGGTTTTGCAGCTTAAATCACCGATGATGGGCACACACACATACGTACCAAATCTAGGTTACCGATGGTGAAATATGTCTACGTTTTGCAATTCAAGTAAACGATAAGACCAAGTTTCTAAAACATCTTGTTTATAATAGTTTTAGGTTGTTCCGGGGGATGAGCTCGTATTAAAAAAGCGAAATCCTGAAAGAAAAGCTGTTTTGGGAATTCCAACTAAAAGCAACGAATTTCAAACAATAAATCACAGATTTTCCCTCCATAGTGTCAGCTCGTATACATACGAAAGCAGCACACGGTAAACAGTTGAAGCGTTTTAACATTGAAGAATACTGAACTCCTTGGTTTTCCATATGATTGTTTTGTTGTGAAGTGTTTGGTTTTATAATTTGCCTGTCTACAAGTTTTTATCTGTAAGCGAGATTTCCCTTGTGCGTAATAAAACATGGCCTCACACTTTGCCAAATTTGTGCCGTTCTGATCTAAGAACTTCAACCTAAACGCGGCCAATTTTGGTCGGCCATCAGGCACAACTCCCGCGGAACAGATTAAACGACTAGAATGTTTGCCTACACGGGACGAATAAAAAACAAAACTTCATCTGGTATTGTCCTCTGGGTCAAAGGAATGTTTGAAAACTTAACGTCGCTGTCTGCTGATTTTAATGAAAAACAGAAGAAAATAAATTAGAAATGTAGAAAGATATAATCGGCGACTCCTACGGCCCTATCTAACAAAAACATCGCAATCATTTCATCAACTTCATTAATTTCCGCTCTGAAAGACGTTCGCCGAAACACGGAAAGCGTGTTGGAACGAGTCCTATGTAGCCGACATATTGATTCTCGCGGGAATTGCAACTCTCCAACTAATTTGTGCAATTTGTGTAATTCCTTCCCTGGTGAGATATTCAATATATATAAAACAAAAATGTGACTGCATATTTATGCAAGCTTGCCCCATGACTTATGTCTCTATTAGATGCCTCTGTAGTTCGGCATCGATGGGAATGTGCCATGACCTTTGTCTGGTGTAAAAATCCTAAATAGTTTTTAAGTCTAGCCTACATCCTAGCCCTCAAATATGGATGAATATTGAATTGTCAATGAGCGATGAACGTGCAGTGTCGTCAACACGTGTTCAATAATATGAATTGAAGATCATTTGACCTCATTTGAATGTGTTGTGAAACCACGTGCGGTGACACTGTGTAAATGATTTTCGATTCCCAGCGGAAGGGACACTAACTGTCGGTGATCTATAAAAAAGCATTGATGAATTTATCATTTGTATACATCTTCTATATGCAAAAAGGTTATAAAAACGAGGGCTTTAGAAAAGATGCTTTCGGGAATTCAACATTGTCTATAAAGTCAGTCAATTATTTTTTTCAAATTAGTTCAGCGTCCTTGCATAAGCCTCCCAAGTTCTAAAAACAACGTGCCGTCTCATTTTTGATACTAAATTTTACGTGTTATTCTAACTTGCATAGACCTCGAGTAGTTTTTGTATGTTGATGTGTAACGTTGTGCAATTCAAAATCTGCAAACATTTTATTTACAACTCAAATTTGAATCTAGGAAATATCATGGAAAGCTTCTTTCGCATTCCTTTTTGGGTGAAGTAACTATACCATGATTTTACAATTTATTACTTACGGTCTTCGCGTATAAAATGGAACCTCGAAAATTAAATGGCAGAAATTGGCATGACTTACATCGAACATTTTATAGAAGAAATGTACGGTAACAACATAGGAATTTACGCAGCTTCTAACATAGCTCATAGTTCAAACATAATTCATAGTTCAAACATAGTTCAATCATAGTTCAATCGTAGATGTGAGTCAGACGCGAGCCATGAGTCGAATTAATCTGCGAGCATTCGAGAGTTCAGTAGCAAGACTTGATCTACATTATTGAAACAGAATGTAATCATGAAAAACACAGTTTACATTACAAATATGACATGTTATCCAGTACCAATGCTTATTATGGGGACTGTTTGCATGTCTATGCAACCTCAAATTCAAGTAATTCTTCACTCTCAGTTCTGATTTTTTTAATATTACATGAATTAATCTAGGGACGAATACCACACGTTGTTAGTAAAAACAATAGTTCTGCAGTCAAATCCCTTGGTGCTTTTAACATGTCTGCCCTGTCTTTGATTATTTGTCTGTGAACTAACCATGAAATTCTATTCAAGTGACATCACGGAATTCGCCATACAAATTATGTAATTTTTTGTGACTTTTTTGTCCGAGTGATAATCCCAAGACGCTTCCTCTTGACGCTAGACGTGTGGGTATTCCCCAGGAGCGCTGTTAAATGAATCCGTTAAATAACTAATTTGAATTGATGACATTGCGGCCTGAGAGCCTATCATTAGTTCTGTCACTGTAGAACGCAAATCTCGTCTAATCTAATTCGGAATGGATATAAATATGTTGTCGGATATGGTTTGTTATTTTTCTATAAATATTGATAACTGTGCATATTACAGTTAGCACCTAGTCGCAGTTAGATATGAAGGGATTTTTTATATGTTTTGATAAACGATGCATGATATCTTCTTCATCAATTTTACAGAGTTCGATACTTGTTTGTGTCACGCACGTTAAGCAATAAAAAGCATACTGAATTGTTGATATAGTTGATACTGTATCCATCTATATACGATTGAGAACACCGATACGTTAGACAATTGTAGTATTTTGCAATAAAGTAATGACATCATTTTATGTATTTTTTGCAAATGTTATTGGCGTTGTCCAATAAAATACCACCCTTAGGTGCAAGAACTATCAAACAATCTGAAATATATAGCTTACGTGTCTGGAAAACCAGGGGAATTATTAAACCGCGTTTAAATACAAGTATCAACCCAATGTAATGTGTCTGTGGCAAATCGAACACATAAACCGGAACACCTCTAGAGTTATCATTCTATCTAAGATGATTTTTAATAAGTCCCAAATCGTACTTCCGAAGGAGCTATAGATATACACTCCCTCCGTCAGTCTGTCATTCATATGCTCCAGATCAGCCACTTCTAATTGCGATATTGAGGACGTTGTTATAAAAGTACGTGTACGTCCAGGGATGACGGGATATTGCGTACTGAAGGCATGCCTCCATGTCTCACTAGATTTTTCATGTTAAAATGTACAGAGTTACGGCCCTTTGTTCATAGTGCGTCACCTTGTCCGAGGTATCCCTCATTTACCTAAATTGTCGAACTCTGTATAGTGGTACATGTACATGTACCTATTGTTATGACGATGTAAATTTGATATCGTACATGTATATCTAACGATAATTAAGAACGCTAATTAGCGGACAGCTCTTCCGTCCCATCGACTGAGAGTTGTCCTTGCGCATATTTAGATGTATTTAAGGACGAACGAACGAGATTAAAGAAGTGTTGAATCGCGTCCTTAAAAACCATTTATATTGTGCGTAGTGTATTTAACTTGGTGATGGGATTAAATCATTACGTGAATTACAGTGCATGAAATGTTTTGAATTCTTGTTTATTTCTTTTCCTATCTGAGTCAATGAGTGAACAGTACATTTACCAGGCTATATTTGTGTTTTTCAGGTTACGAACGCGTAGCAAAAATCCCTCGTTTTAAATTTGTGGAAGCTAATTTGACCTATGTACAAGGAGAAATGGCGGTGTTAAAATGTGCAGTGGAAAATTTGGGGACGAAATCGGTGAGTACAATATACATGTAATGTGCAGACAGAACATCTTATCTGTCACTGTAGATATATACTCACGATTATCATTAAGTAAGTGTTCTGTAATAATAAGCTAATAATTGATCAGTGGAGTGTTTGCTATATAGAACGTTTCTTAAATGCTGTCTCGTTAAGTGTAGACGCATTCTACCCGGGGACATGCTTTGGACCCCTCCATTCTACCCGGGGACATGCTTTGGACCCCTCCATTCAATTCCTGTTGAAGGACTCAGCCCAAAAGTGTGGATGTAGAGGGAGTGTTGCTATTTATGATTGAAATATGATAATTTAATTATATGTCACCAACACGTACTTTAAAATGTAGGGGTTACCAGGTATTTTGGGGCCTCGAGTCGGTATGAACTTAGGAAATGCAAAATTAAAAATGGTTTCTAGATTACGTACACAAAATAATATAATTACTTTTTGAATTACCAGAACAACGTTTGGTCACAGTATTCATAGAAATGCAAAACACGTTTGGTTTAAACCTATTTTATTTTACCAATATACAAATGGATTGGGATTGGACAACAATTAATTTCAACTTAATACAGTCCTGTCCTCAATACATACGGTAAAAAATCATGTACATATATGAATTTTGGGAACGGGAGAAGGATAGGGTGGTGAAGGAATGGTGTGTGTGGGAGGGGGGAGAGGGGGGGGGGCGGGGTCGGTGTTACCTAGAAAAGAAATCATGTAAACTATGAAAAGGATCTGCATTTGAATAAATTATTAATTATACAAATGTCATGACATGCAGCCTGGTAGAGTTATTTCATAATGCAAAACACGTACCAAATACCGTGTATAACATTCCATTTATATACGTGAGGCAAAGTCGATGATTGAATGTTGATGCCTAGACATTCTTCTGTCGTTTAACATGATATTGTAATCTGACGACACGCTTAAAATGAATAGATATCGTGTTTCAGAACGTCTGCTAACATAAAAATCAATATTTGAAACAAAAATTTGCCTTTAAGCATTTCCTAGTTAGGAATTGGAAAAATAATATAGAGAGAGAGGTCAGTAAATCCAAAGTGATAAACTTCACGTAAAGCACAGTGTAAATGAGAAGCCGACGTGTATACAATTGTACATGTATGTTTCTCATATGTAAAATTGTAACGTTTATTATCATTAGTATTATTCATAATATGGAACATCTTTTGTGATGGTTATGGGGACGTAAATGGGGACAATGAAAGGTATATAAGAGGAATCATTTGGGGTGCAGGGAACAATGTAGCTGTACGGAAAAATGTTGAAGAGAAAGCAACAAAATAACGTAAAAACGATAATTGAATTTAAAACAAATCGATTGTTAGTTTTTTGTACAAAGGAAAATGGTGTTGGGAGGACCTTTTTTATCCTTTTTAAACCTGAGAAAATAAAAGTTACATGTATAAAGTAATCTGTCATGATAACACTCGGTGTTCAATACAAGAGGGAGAAAATAATACAGACAAATCTAAGTTAAACAATGACATACCGTCAGTCATCGGTTCGTTTACGTATACAAAGGTTGACATATTGTTCATATGCAAACAATAAGGAATATACACAAAATATACACAGTGACAATGACTCTGAACGTCTTTTGATAAGTTAATGTAGTCATCGGGCTACTCCAGACGACCTACAATGAAAGAAGCATCACAGTGTATACCGTGACATTTGTATATAGAACAGCTGCAAGTATGTTGATTGCTCTACAATGCTGCATTGACCTTCTTTCCTTATTAACGGACGAGCACGTGTTTCGGATGAGGGCAGCGGGTAAATATATTGATATATTAAGGGCAGTACGTTCATGTGACCTGGAAACGCCCGTCCTATTATGTTAATGAGCTATGCTTCTTTTATAAGCATTATACATACATTATACATGCAACACATTTCTATTGGTAATGTCCATACTATTCCATGACTTGTGTAGTATATACATAGCACATTAAACAATAGTGTTCATGCGCATTGCATTGTTTTGATATATCGGTGAAGCGCTGTGTGGTTGGAATGTTATGTAAAAATATATTTGTGAGCAAGCACCTGAATGTAGGTGCTGTACTTTGATGGTAGTTAACGTTGATGACATTTATTTGATGGTTAAAAAGCTGTGTATTACACACATGTACCTAGAAGATAAACAGTTATATATGAGCTGTGCCCTGTTACACAACACTACGTCCATCCATAACCATCCTTTTAATAAACTGGGCACTGGAACAAACCGAATAACAATTCTATTTTCCAGTCATTTGAATTTTTTTTTTTAACCGTGTCAATATTAGACATACATCCAGAAGGTCGGACTAAATGACTGATGGTTTATGTCGCAGCTGAGGCCAGGCCGATCTATTTCAGTTTACGATTACATTTGCGGCTTCAAATCCGGCTCCGTTCACAATATCCACAGTACGGGCCTTTTGTAAGTGTTTTTGAAGCCCTTATCGAATGGAGACCATGCATTGTTACCGTAGTATTGACCTTTACTGGTCCTTAGAGAAACAAAAACCAATTTAAAAAAAACACACAGATAACGCCGACACCAGCATCACTTCCATACTGTAAATAAGCTCACCGTTAGACACTCAATATTCCCATAGAATACAAACGGCATTTTGCATGATCTTTCTCGTGTGGTTTGAATTTTTCATCGTCAGAATTGCCTTTAGCTAATCACTGTTGAGAACGAGGAAACGGATTTTTTCCAATATGTGATCTGTTACAAATGTAAACGACCCAGCCAGTCAGTTATGTTTACCCGTTTAAGAGTAATAAGGCAAACCTATCAATCAAAAGGTGTTCTAAACTAATATCAACAAGAACAATTACCAATGCATCTGTTTTTACCGGAAACTGTCCAAGTCATACTGCCGTACTGTTCGAGTAACTCTGGACCGATCATGACGTCATATCAAATTCAAACAATGACGAAAGTTCCCGACTTGTTTTCTATTGATGTTCGTCGTTTGTCGAAACTTGTAACCATAGAAAACGCGTCTTTTGTTCCGTTTAAATCGCTGTCCGACTCTTTGATATATTCAAACCGTATCATGAACGAACACGAACAGGTACCACATTGAAAGATTAAATGCATAGGATAAACACACGTCGTTTAAACGTTTATGATGGTGATTAACAGAGTTCTGTTTAACCATACTTTCCGTTGAGCTAAACTATGTAATATTTTTCAACGGAAATGTGTTGTATACAACCATAAATGGTTCAAAGATGTATTTCAAACCTAGAACGAAAATGTAATACATTTATTTTAATATTACACATTTGTTTATTTGTTCCAATTAACACATGTAATATTATGATGAAAAGATATGCTATTGTCATACGTTAACTGCAAGATACTATTATCCGGGAAATAACACATTTTACTGGGCTATAGTTCAAGACAATAGTACCTTTCATAAAGAACCAATAAAAAACATTACAGTGATACACTTTGTATCATGGCAGCACGCCACTTGCATCCAAATGCAATCAGATGAAAGGTAGGCGGAGCTGTTATTCGACCTTGACCGTTCACTGTGTGTTTATCGACCTACCGGGATATCATTCCAGGCGATAGTTAAAGAGTAGATACATAGCTTTCGACAGATTTATGGAGCTTCAGAAGTTCTTTTATTTTTAAATGATATCTTTGCAGTTCGTACTGGTAAAACAGAACATCCACAGTATACGAGCTCGGGATATAGATTCTTGTTTGGTAAACGTTTTTAGTTTCCCCGTTACAAGGTTAATTTCCCAAGACGAATGTTGTTTGTTTTCAGACAATAATTAGGCGAGTTAACACAATCAAATAATTTTCATGTCTGGTTTGCATGGGTAAAATAAAACAATGTAAGTTTAGGATATCGGTATTTTTATTATACTTTCATGTATTGTTTTGGTTCTCTCAACTTCTGATTTCCCAAGACGAATATATTCTGTTAACTGTTTTTCTGTTGACATAATGAAAGTGTTTACATGTTTGGTTTGTGTCAGTTTGGAAGCAGTATACAGTAGAAATGGCCCGACTCTGATAAACAAGGCACATGTCGAGGTAATGTAAACACAGCGGATTTACCCTACACAACACATGTATACATGTATATATATTTGTAAACTGCATTACATTTACAATACACATAAAGTACTGAGAAGTGTCTAAACCTCTTTTTTCTACGTATGTCACTTGTGTGAAAACCATGGTTACCACATCAAAAATTACCAATAAATGCCAAAAATTGCTATTTTTGACCCAAAATTTGACCCCCGCAACTAGTTTTTTTTTCCCTGGCTACCACATCAAAAATTACCAATAAATGCCAAAAATTGCTATTTTTTACCCAAAATTTGACCCCCTGTCTGAAATTAAAGATTACCTACTTGTTTGCAGAATTATCTGGGTCCCAGTAAAGTTGTCAAACTTGATTTTTTGCAATTTTGCGTCGTGTGCTGTTGTCAAAATGTTACCTCCTGTAAAGCTAGCTTTTCATGTGAAGGTTCGAATTATGGCCAAAATTTTGATCTTGATTTTTTTTTACAAATGTGAAGCTCACATACCCCACTTCATCATGCTTATACCAATTTTAGTACATTTTTATTTTTATATTTTTTTTAACATATCATTATACAAGGGTTAGCCATTTAACAAAAATATCACCCATGGCCACAACTCTCTACTGTAGACTGCTACCTATAGTAAAACAGTGTATAAACTAGTCACTCGTGAAAGAAGCATTTTATTCCTATTTCAATGTAAACTATTTCCCTGCTGATTTCGGCTCTTGGAAGTGTGTTACCTTTCAAGAGCAAAAAAACGACTATTTCCCCTTGTCCATTTTTTAAACTGCGTAATAATTAGTTATAAAAAATAAAAACATCTCACACTCACTGAAGTTAACAAAACAACATCATCATCAGATAATAAAACAAACTTTAATATAACCTATAGCAACAGTTTACATGTGACTCTCGATGTCCTTGCCTGTCACAGATTTACCGTGTTCTGTCCCATGGACCATGTTTCAATCAAGCGTTGTCTTTTTAAAACTGAGTATGGGCAAATGATGTTAAACTTCGTTAAAGTAAGGAAGTGCTGCACACAACTGACACATTATAAACATGTAATGGCCTTATACACACTCAACTATTTAGTACGGACGTTTTTTCTTTACCAAATTAACTGTCATACATTTTTGAGAGTTGAAATACAGTTCATTAAGCTGAAATAACCAGAAGCAAGTTCTAGTGATCTGTATGATCCATAACTATCCACAGGAATTAACAATTCTACAAGCGATTCGTTTCTCGTTTCCATTATACGCTTAATGTTTATGTTAACGAAATCAGATTTATTCTTCCCAACAGCAGTCAAAATGAAAATATAACATTTTTTGTATTAATCCTATTCAGCGTTATATAAACTTTTATGCTTGATTAATTCTGAATGTGTCCGAAATATAAACGAAGAACTCTATTCATGATTACGGCGTTTGACTCTCATATCCAATCTCTACATTGTACTATTTCATCCTGATTGTGTTGTTTAAGATATCTCAACAAGAAGGAAATTACAGCCTCACAGAAATCAAATGTTTTGTGAAACAATCATCATTATATATCTTTAATTATTTAGGCTCAGTAATAGTAAATATACTGTAGGCAGCAGCAGCAGCAGCTGTTGTTTTCCTTCCATCATAATAAGAACAGCTCAAAGATGGTTGCTTTTAATTATTAAGGACATGTTAGAAAACATAAATGTGTATTTGGTCAGGGTTGATGGCATATCACAGCATTCTAATTAAACGAAAGCACGTGACGTACTAATCAAAACATGCAACTACATGTTCTTATGATAAGTCCTTATTGTTCAGAGATATAAAATATCACATTGTGTAAAACAGTTGCACAAACAAGTGGATACGTCAGGATCAAGAAAAGCTTCATCTTTAGGGAAACGTTATGTACCTTTAGGCAAAACCAAGTACTGTATAGTTACTTATATTCATGATTGTTTTAATTTCGCGAATTTCGCAAATGCGTTTAAACAACTTACTTGCCTGGTACATACTAGGAACAGGTATTCACCTGTGTCCAGTAACGATGTCGGGTTGTGCGTTGTTAGAAGTACTGTAGCATGCACTCGGAACTATTTGCGAGGTGTTCCGAAATAGATTAACAGAAATGGTAATTCGCGAAATAAAACGCCCCCGAATAAGTTCCGGACACACAATCGCGAAATTATACAACTACACAGTAGTTTCATGAATACAAATGTATATGATATGTACTCTGTGTGTGGGATCGAATCGATATCTGTTGTAAAGAGGAATTACAAAGAGTAAACAAAATACGCTGCGGTTTACTGTGAAATGTGAAATGTTTATTTTCATTCGTGGTTTGCAACCATTTAGGTCGTTTCCTGGTACATGAACGAAGTTCCGAGGATAACCAATGCAAACAAGCAGTAGTCAAAGATATCTATTAAATTGTTTTCATTTATTTCCCTGTTTTCATAGCAACCTCAAAAATCACGACTACATGAACACAGCATTTTTTTATATATATATAAAAGATGATGTTTTATACAGTCTATGGCATTTTGTTATATAATTGCTATGACTTTTGTTTAATTACATTTTATGAACATATATGCAATATGCTTTACAATTTATGATGATTTTGTAAACTAGACATAAACAATACAAACATACAACAGAATGTTTATTTGAGCATCATTACAATTATCTAAATCTTTCCATTGTCAGACTGACATTGCATCTATAAGATCCAAAGAAATACAATTTTAACTCCTTTCTTTCTTTGTTATACATTTTTGTACGAAAAGCAGTACCCACGTAAATAGATTTAATACAATTTAGGTCACACTCGATGTATTACAAAGCGAACGCCCTGTTTAATGTAAATTATACAATAATATTAGTGATAAACATTGATATCAAGATACACTTCCATAACGGCCATGATATGTTCAGGTGATAAAAGATGGCGGATAATACAATAAATGTGGACCTCCTCCTTCCTTCGTCCTGTTGGGCCGCATGTCTACGTCAATTCCCCAGGAGCCACGCCTCTATACATCACAATCACAATCGACTGCATATACCAGTTTGATATTGTATTTCTCTTTCATGTTATAATGAATAGACTGGTTCGGAGCCAGGGGACACGGTGTGGTTCCCATCGACTTCTATTGTTGTATGCTGCTAGAGACAGGATGCTTCATACTCCAAACAAAAAAGTCTATTATTCTCATTGTCTACCAAAGCAGCTGTTGCTTCCAGACGAATATACGTCGCGTTTGATTTTGTAAATGAAGTACTATGCAATTCGACGTTATGGTCAGAACGTTCACGACGCCATTCTGGTATTGCCGCAATTTTTTCAATACCATAAGCGGCCTTCTTTTCACTATTTGTGTCTACGCTTGACCCCAATGTACACCGTACCTAAATATTACGCTTACAAACTCCCAAGTGACCCTGAGTTCCAGTCATCACTGGACGATTGGTATGTGGATATCAAACACAGTCGATATGAAGGTGTATATCTGGGGAGCCTTATTGATGTATAACAACTGCGTGCAGTCCGTCGTTTTTTTTTGTTGCGTTCAGCCGTGTTTACATGGACGTATAAAGTCAAATTAACTTGCTATATTGCAGACTCCCAATGGTAGTCAAAGCTTAACTAGCACGTCATGTTAACTGGAGTTACGTCATTTTCTTTAGAACAAACTACAGTTGTTGAAATGTACTAGTATATCAGTACAACCACATAATGCACCTAATTGAGATAAAAAAATCCTCCCGCGGATTTTATATGAAGCTTTCAAAAAAGCAAGGTTTTATGCACGGATGCTGATAAAGATAATAAACCTAAAAAAACTCTACCAATTTAATATAAATTAACTTAGCTGTTTTTTGGTCAATAAACATGAGGTTAACACTGTATGCACTTTATTGCAAATGACACTCAAGCATTCATTCCAGTATCCTTGTCTAGGCTAATTGGTGGCAACTAACACCGGTCACGGATACATAAATTGATTGATGTGTAATACATCATCATTCTGATGAATTAAATAGTTGATGCTTAAAATGCCGTATAAAATTAAATTAATTACCAGTGGAAAATATATGCCAAACCATCTAACAGAAAATATGTCATTACAAACTATAATCGCTGCATATAAAAGTGATATATTAAAAAAATGGAAAACGTTTTTATGTTATGCATACATCTGGTATGAATGCTCATGCTTAATTGAAACTATTACATTACATTAGTTCTTGCAAAGATCTTAAACCTCAAATGTTCACAACGATATCATGATATAGAAGGGGTCGACATTTTTCATTAGCTGTATATTTAAGAAAATTTGTTTTATAATTATTTTTTTACTTCAAAGACATCTTTATGAAAAGAGAATAACATGCACTTTAAGATTTTGTAAGACCTTCTATATCCTTTTAAAAAAGATAAAGAGTAATGCCTCACTGACAGAAAGTGTCTTTGCATTTTAGAAACGCATTTTTCTGACTTGTAATTAGCTTTGACATCTAATAAACGAAACACATACCTGGCGGAACTCTCATAGAAAATCTTAAGAATTAACAAAGAAAATCATGCGAAGGAACACTGTTAGGATTTTGACCAAGGACCAATGAGATAATTGGTCAACGGTAGTACTCCTGCCTAGTTGCACTTCAGTCATATATAAAACAAAAATAAATATTAGAGTTCCGCCAGGTACGTAACACTAGAGTGGCATTATATAGTATTTTGCCTGTATATGGACAGATATCATTAAAGAAACGATACCACAAAGTGAATGGGCTTCGTTTGTTGTTGAATACTCTCCAATGGGAGAGTGTTCTCACGCTTGAATATACATGTACTGGTTGTCTCACGAAAAGTAGCTCTATAACGTGTTGTTATCTTTTTAGACAAAGGAAGCTACACACGTTGAAATACTTCGAGCGTGCACATAAAGTGATGCTTGGAGTGTTCACATACGCAGTTCGGGTTATGTCACTTTGCAGTTGGTCTTCGGTCGATACATTTTCGTGGGGCCCAAATTTAGTGGTTACATGAATTCATGGATTACGGGTACCCACTCAAACGGAGAATCGTTTTATGTCAAACTTGTAATAACCTCGTGAACCTATGGATTCGTGGATGGAGTTCAAGGATAATAAAACAAAAACACTAAAATTACTGATTTCACAGTAGTTGTTCAAAGGTATTCGGAAGAAATAATTATAAAAACAGCGTTAACATCGTTCATTTTTCATCTACTTATTAATTTTATGATAACGTCTTTCTTTGTTACAGGTTGCTTGGCGAAAACTTCCATATATCACGCCAATATTGGTGGGAGAAAGACGATTCGCGGCAGACGAGCGGTACTCAGCCAATCATGTACCGTATAGAGATGAATGGAATTTGTGGATAAGAAACGCTCAAACGTCAGACACAGGCATTTATGAGTGCCAAGTCAGTTCAAAACACAGAACATTACGACAAAATATTTCATTATTAATAATAGGTATGTTGGAATTCAAAGAGTGTGGTATTATTTTATTTTTTAACTCTCCCTAATTTTTTTTTTTGAATTTAAATAGTACAGATGACCATTTTTTTATTATGAAACTGCATACCTATACTTTGTACAATCCACGCACCTACTATTTTGTATTTTTTTCTTCGATGATTTTTTCAATTACGTCATCCACATGTTTACAACCTTAAACCCCGTTTTATCATATTATGTAAAAACTCCCAATCCGTTCACAGGATAGGCCTGATGTTCAAGAAGTGTGACTATATATATAGACTATTGAATTACCGTGGCAGTACTGCAAAGTATATCTTATTTGTATTGTATTTGCAAACTATTATTTAACTGGTTTGGTCAAAACAGTTTAATCTATCGTTTCTACTGCTGTGCACGATACTGTTAATTATATAACAGTAGTCTTTGCAGTTGGTTTAACTCATGATTGTGTATAGTAGTGTCAATAAGGCATTTTATATTATCTTACTTTCATTTTTTTGCGATGGAATCGGCTTATCGAGATTGTATTGACTTGGCTGAATATAGTTAAAAACCCTGTGTTTTAAGGTAACAGTTGTCTAAGTGAAATATCTTATGTATCTTTTAAACCATTTTTCAAAATCACGTGTATTTACTTTACCATATCTACATACATTAACTATTTACTATTTGAGAGCTCAATAGGTTTAAAGCAATGAACTAAATTGTAGGCCTTTTATTTTATAATTATACATGTATTCTAAGAAACTCAAAACATGAGAAAACAGTGTTTTAGCGCCAAACATATACAGATTATATATCATAATAAAAATCATATCCGTGCTCCACACAGAATAATTTGTATGCAATCAACAATGCAGAAATTAATTAAGCTTATTAGGAGATGGGCAACGGTAAAATTGCTTGACTATGATGCATTTATTTAAGAAAGTGGTCTCAAGTTAGCAAATTTAAGAATTACCACCAATTTAGATTTAAACATTCATTCAAGTATTAATTTATTTATTTTTCTTTTCGCGGCATATGCTTTTCCTATTTTTGAGTCCCAAATGGTATTTCCGTTACTTTTGCCGTAGATACTGCACCTTTGTATAATTAGTTGAATAAATTAAAACTAGTGTACGTTTTCATAAATTCCAACAACAATGTATTATTTAAATTTAGATTTTGTCATTTTTCTTCTAACCTTTCGTAGAAACATTGCATGCTTCCAAATAATTGTCATTGCCAACGAACGTTACATTGGTGAATAATTCCAGCTCTTTTCGTTGTATTGTGTTGTTATCACTTCCGTTATTAAATTGTATTTCAGAAAGAAGATTTAAAAAAGGTAAGTATCTAGTATACAATTCAGGTTTTACTGATCTGGGTCAACGTGTTGCCTTTATCTCTCTTTCCGTCTGTCCTTCAATTCTCCTCTTCTTTCACTTTCTTCTTTTCTCTCTTTCCTTGGCTGGCCCTTTTGCAAACACCCGTCCTCCCCATACACCAACGTTTTAGGCATCGTGTTCCCCATAAAATTGAATAGACAACTCTAGATATAATTCCAAAGGATAGTACATCTTGACACTCTTCGAAATTTTGCACCGTTTGGAACATGGAATTAGTGTTCAAAAACACAAGGTAAAGGTAGTATTCAATCGTTCTTGCACAGTTTGAAAATGTTGTACCCTTACAATTATTAATGAAAAAACTAAGTGGATATCAGAACAAAAATCTTCCATTGCTGTCTATGATATAGTACTTATAGATAACCGTTGTTTGCACATCTAGTTTGAGGCATAAATGTTTATGGAATTTATTAGTATCATGGAAAAAGTGTAGCACAAAGCATGAGGACTCTTTACACAAAATAATAGTACAGTTTACGTCTTTGTTTCGGCTTGTTTTAGAACTTAAATATTACCTTTCTTCAATTGGTCTTTGAAGAAAGCAGAAATGTCATACATTTGTACATGTCTTATGCTATACAAATATCAATGTAATATATTTCACTGTAAAGAATCAATAGTCCATATTATATATGTAGTATAATGAACACACATACAAATATATATATTGAACGTTGTGTATTGAGTCTATAGCTTTCCCGTATTATAGGTCACTATATAGTTCCTTGTAATTGTTTTGGTATTTAGCGCCTCACGACGTTGTGAATCCTTCCGCGCTGCGCCAGGCGTAGTAGTCTATTACATGTAATAACAAACATATCAGTAGATAACTATTCATGATTTGACATGAATTCAGTCTGAATACTTTTACAAATTTGTATATAGCAATATATACTTTATAATAGTTTATATTGTACTACTACTGAAATGATTGTGATGTACATGGCGCAATTATTGCTATATAAATGTTGAGTTTGATTTATAATTTATACGTTCCATTAGAAATCACCCCTGGTCGTACAGAACACACACCATCAAACCCCTAAAAACCCCGCCTTTCTTACCTAATTTTCATTTGTTTTTGTCTTCCATAGCAATAAATATAACGGGAGCTCGCTATGTCGAGCGAGGGATGCCGCTACTCTTAGTATGTAATGCTACAGGAGAGGACTTCCCACCAGATGAAATACAGTGGTTTTTTGATGGTGAAAAATTACAAAGTGATTCAAGGAAACGTTTACGAATAACAGATGAAGTTAATTTGATAACACATACTTTAAAAAGTACACTCGAAATAATGTACGCTTCAATGAGTGATACAGGAAATTACGTATGTCGATCGTCAGCGAGGCTCACGACGGGGGTCCGAGTGGAAGTGTTAAATGGTACGCCTTCAATGCATGGCTCGCGAGGAGGAGGTAGGAAGGGGGGAACTTGGCTCTCGGCCCACGATTTTTTTTTATTATTTTCCATTTTTTATTTTGCTGATACCATTTTCATTTAACATAAACATTGTACACATTGGCTGAATTTGAGATCAGACGCTGGATTCATATTTGAAAATTGATTGCGTATTCCATTCTTGAATCATCTCTGTTCCGAGGTAGTTCATGAATTATTGGAATGCAACGCACACTCGATTTAACGTTGTATTTTCAAACAGGCTCATAAATGGTTAAAGTCTGTTTGGACAGGACAAATAAATCTACATAAGAAAAACTGATAAGAAAACTAAAACCATAACTGACACACACTTGACAGCAAAAAGATAACAAACTTTTTTGTGTAAATAAAATCGTTACTATATGCGTGGTAATTTGAAATAGCATAAAGATGATTATTTACAACTTATTTGATATTGTTTTAGTAATGTAATATAAAGACATGTTTAATGATAACGGTTTTTGCATGTATCCTCACAACGTTTTATTAGTTTCTTTAAAGCAAACCAGTATGTATCGTTTTGTTTACACCTTTAGTTAAAAATAACCAATTCTTTTAATTTGTTTAGCACCAACCTATTTTATAAAAGAGCAATCACAAACTTCCCCTATGTGTGTGTGTGTGTGTGTGCTTTTTTAATTTTAACTATTTTATTATTATTTTTGATTTTTGATTTTTGATTTTTATTTTATATGTCTTTTTGACGAACATTGAATTAAGAATTACTAATAAAAAATATGAAAGACTAAAGACAGATGAATATAATTTGCAGCTGATAAATGCATGCTAATTTGTCTTATATTTTGCGTTAAGTGGTAAGAGCTAAACTGGAACCCTGGCGTATCTCCTCCTCCTTGTAAAATAGAAAATATTCACCGTATTATGAAAACATAATTAACCGTTACCCAAGCCACACAATATAATATCAATGTTTCTTTCACCTTTTTGTCTTTGCATTATCTTTTATTAAAGAAGTGTACCTCTGAACCTTACATGCATGAAAACATTCCAGCTTCACTACCTTTTTTCATTAATCTTCCCAATGTAGATGTTCATTTTCCCTCCAAACCTTTTTGAAAAGAATATTTTACCTGGTTAATTTTAACATCATCTCTTAATTTTACTTTGATCAACTGATAAACATATAGCAATTACCTGATAAAGTTATATACAAGTGTACCTGTAACCCTATTTAAAAGGTGTACCGTGACGTATGCAAATCGAGTCTGTGTGTAATATTTTTTTATTATACACTGTTCTGTATTAGGCATTACAGACTATCGCGTATTAGCAAATGTATATTGTAAAGTTTCACCCATATTCATCATATTCCTAATACAATATGTATAAACACACTGCACGTTTCTAACAAAGCTAACTCTAGTATCTCGAAAAAAGACATTTTCTAATTCCGTTCAATTTGAAAAAAAAAACAATTTTCATCTAAATCGGTTTACTATAAAATATTATTTCGAGATAATGGTGTTTGCTATTAGTAGTAGAAATTTGTCGCTTAAAGTATTTAATGCGCAGTAACTACGTGTACTAGATGATGGCAAACAGTATTCTGTCCTAGCTTTCATATAAAATGTGAGCTTAGTTGCGTGTGTATGTTATTATTGCCTCGTTTGATCCTCAACATATACCACTAGATGATAAATATTGTGACTGTGTAGCCTGTTAACCCTTTCACCCCTATGTAACTTTAATAGACTCTAGCATGCATTGATATGGATAGGCCCATTATGGTCTACAGTGGTGAAAGGGTTAAGAGACAAGCAATCAGTCTCCATGTAGCTGTTTGGTAGAAAGTTTCAAACTCTCCAAAAATATATTTTCCAAACAGGTTCAGCTTCATACCATTCCATGAAATCTTCAATGTCACAAAAGTGTTATAAAATTAACACCTTAACACCATCGACCGTCTTATCAACGGGACTATGTCATGATTGTTCTCGTAACACAATTAAGTTATTCAATTCAAAAAACTCAATTTTGAGTATTAATAGCGAACACATTACAGATAAAGCATTAATAATGGAAATTTTGAAATGTTCTTAAATAACAAAGAACACTCTTTTTATCAGAGAAGTTGAAGTCTGATTGAAACTTAATTTGGTTGAGTTGTGAGACTGAATGAATGAATAGTATTGCTCTAAATTTGTAGGATGGACTATGTTTAGAACAGAAAGTGAGTATATGCATGGCTTTTGTCAAGAAGCCAAATTACATTTTCTGGAAACGAGTATTTGTTGTTTTAATACTGCAGTCGTTGTTTACATTTTTTATAAGATCTTTAAGAAACACATGTTTTTTTTTATATCAATATACAGTTCTTATTGTATTTTTTTTTTCGAAATTGCAAGATGCATGTATGTCATTATCAAACAAATTCACAGCTGGTACAGAGACAGTCTGGACGCTAAACAAGAACAAATGCATGCATGCACTATTTCAATAAACAATTTTGCTATATTTACTGTTTTTATTGTAACATTCACATTTGTATTAACTTCTTGAGGACAAGTTTAAGAAAAGATTCATTTTTGTTTTTAAACAAAACACACAATTCAATTGCCAGCTTAATTTCATTGAGTAAATATTAATTGTCTGTGCATTTGAAGCAATGAAAGTGTTTTAATCTTTGCCTTGATTGTTTTCTATTTTCTGGGCATTTTTACCTTTTTTACTTGTGTGTGTGTGTTAACACATCTAACAACTTTTAAAATTAAAAACGATTTTAGTTCACATAAAAAAGACATATAGAAACACTATCAGCGTGTTAGGTCTCTGAAGATATTAAATCATTCTATGATTCGAGAATTGGAATATTTGCTGTTGCATTCAATGTTTGTCAAAAATGAACAAACATGAACATAAATTGAATAATTCTGCAAATAATCTGTAAATGTACAATGCTTTCATGAATTATCGAAATTGCAATATAAAAAAAATCTGTTGTTTAATACTAGTTTTTAAAAACGATTAATAAGTAATGTAGTAGCATGCTAACGCAATATATGTAAAGGGATGATATATGATAACCACATCAATAGCGTTTACCTACCTACCACACGGAAACCCATGGTAATTAAACAAAATTAACAGTCTAAACGCCGTTACTGCTTCCCACCGTGTCAGTTTCCGGCAGTACGACTTCCATATTTACGACCGCCATAAAATAGACAATTTATCATCGATGAACATGTCTTTACGACCCTAACACTCGCCTCCATCCTTGAACGATGTAGGGGGCGTTAAGTTAACGACGAGCAGGTTAAATACTGCCAAATAGTGTAGGAACAGATAGGAAACACCTTTACCTAGTACAATTAGGTGAACTATAACATTTTGTATAAACCTTATTTTGTGCCAAATACCTCGCAACACGGCTAGCATTCTTAAAAAAGGGCCCTAAGTGACCATAAGTTATCATGGACAACAACCAAGTTGGATAAATAAGTGATTTTAAAAAAGAATCATCAACAATTTTAATTATTCGAGAAAACCATAGCCCTTGGCTCATAGTAAATTTATAAAGATATTCCTTGTTCGAATAACGAATAAAATATCACTGTCTAACTTTGCCTTGCCCACATATCTTCCATGGCATTACTATTCAAACTGAAGACTTGAATGGAATATTAAATTTAAAAAGGCTCTTTTTCCTTGCATGACAAAATATGGCAAAGCCATTTTTTGTTGGTGTATACGTTGAAAACCAATTTGTTAAGTTTGATGATCTATATACATGTTATGCTTATACCACGGATATATCGATTTTAGAACAACTACAATGTATCAAGTAATTAGTCTAATATACGGTAAGCTGCATGTTGATGTATACTCCGTAACACACATACACTTTATTATCTGACATTGTACGCTATATCAAATCAGCATTTTTTGTCATAATTACATGTAACATTTTCCATTTCTTCATTACAGCTGGCAACATCCCACCAAGAAAAAGAGGTAAGTCTATTAATGTTATTATTAGTAAAAGTCACTGATCTTTCTAGTAAGTTATGACATTTCATTGGTTCTTAAACATCGTTGAATCTTTCAGGAAGTGTTATACATTGTTACCTTTTGTCCTTAAATTAGATTTTCCCAAACCAGTTATATTATAAATTCGTTCACCAGGTGAACATTTCAATTCCATTTCAGATATATAAACTATCTATTTTTAGTTATTTTGTATCACTAGATTTAAAATGTGCAGATGAATTTATTAGGATTGACCCTTTTCAACGAAAATTTACTAAAACTAAAATAAAAAAGACTTTGTCTTTTTCTAAATTCATATTGAATAAAAGAAATAAAATATAGTTGATACATTCGAACAATGTTGTCTCTCATGTTGTATACAACATATTTCTATAAAACAGCGATGGCAATTAAAAACGAACTTATTTTTTTCGGAAATGCTGAATACATGCAATAGTATCTCTCTCGCTTTAATATACGTTGGCACTAATACACGATTCAATTGATGTTTGATCACCAAATTTGAAACAGTTCTATATATTGGGATATATAAATAGAGTTTAAATATAGCATTGGTCAAGGATAAAAGGTCGAAAGTCACGGGCAAGGCCATTGTCCGCTTGTGTACAATATTTCTTATGAATCTCTGAAAAGAATTAATGTTTACCCAATTGAATGGTAATATGAAGTTATATATCTACATGTAGTTAGATTGTTTTTATGGTCATTAGTCAAGGTTAGAGAATCAGAGGTAGCGAGCTAATCTGGAACAGGCGATGGTGGTATGTGTATGAGAGCCTTCACTAAACTTGTTTTTATTGTGTTAAGTTATTATTTCACCCAACTGTTTGACAAGATTCTACATATCACTTTAACATTTAAGGTTTTGGATAACAATTCAGATAGATTAACATATAGTTATGCTGCTTTTTTTCTACATAGAACCTGTCAAAAATGCACTTATTTCTATATAAATCATTTAAATGCCAAAACAGTTTAGATCAATCCTTTTAAGTATTGATTTATCATTTTGATAAGGATCATACAAAATAATTGCAATTAAGTATTTATGAAACAGAACTGCTAAATACGGAATGGCCTATTGTTGACAATATTGAAAATGGAACTAGATTAAGTTTCGCCAATACTTCTGTGTAAATTTATTAGCAATACCGCATTTGCTTGATCCATTTCCAGAGACAAAGAATAACACATCAACCGTTTAAAGCATTATGATGTACTATATCCATATTGATTATCGTCTGACTATCATGAATTGCATTCACCAACGTTCGATTAGTCACCTGCAAAAAGAGCAGACAACAATGAAGTGTGAAGCATTGAGTCGGATGACAGCAAGCATATATCATGATTGAAAAAGATTTTGCTTCATGCGAAAGCATTATCTGATTATTGATTACCATCGATACTTTGCAGCTCCATTTAACAAAGTGCATGGTCGTGTTTATCTTTATTCGGTTTCGAATGAATAGCACAGATTTCATTCATCTTGGATTAAAGGGTGTAATCTCCTATTAACGGAAAGACAACTGGCAGTTACTCTTGATAATCCCTGCATATCCCACTGTATTATATTGTTTTCGTACATACAGCAATCTCCCCTTAATTTCGTGTTGGTAACACATTAACTGTAGCCATTTGACCAAACAGCTCAGTCGGAAAAAGCGATTATATAACATTCGGAACGCCGGGGTTGTGATTTCCGGTCTAACACCGCTAATATTTCACATCCGGAATACTGTTGTTGACTATGTTTTGTTTGTTTCATCTTTATTAGTTTTCATTAAACTCCTGCATGGTCGGTTTCCCTTCAGGAATGATTTATCAAAGCTATTAACATGCCACCAGTAGTTTCCAATACGTAATTGCCTTTTTTGGCAGTGGTACGAAATTCTTTAATCTCTAATTTACACAAACTGCCTCTGCAGTCGCAACGTATGTGTCGCAAAATGATGGCATTTGAAACTGCCAGATATACCTCAAGGTATGGGCGTAATATGAAAGAATAATCATAATCAATACCGAGACTAATATACCTGTACAAGTCTTATTCTATGCAAAGTTTACCCTTATTAGCACCCCCATGATGAAGAACTATGTTGCCAGATATACTCTGTGATGTATACTTCGATCAATTGTTACAGCAACCATATTGAACCTAGAATGACTATTCCATTAGGATTGTTTTATGTATATCTAGCACGAGGCATTAAGACAGATGCCCTATTAGAAATCGGGTTAGACCAATAATTGTTTCAGCAAATCAGAGGCCTACCAAGGCGGCCATTTTGCTATAACAGCAATATCTTTCTCCACGCGTAAAAAAAGTTTCATATACGCATCCTTTCCACCACAATTCATTACCATAAGTCATATTGATGTTTAATAATGGTAAATCCTATTTAACAAGTGACATATGCGAATCAAGTTTTTATTAATTTCAATTACGATTCTACTGGTAGACCAAAGGTAATTGGCTAAAATATATGTCATCCAACCTAAGATAAATGCAGACATCCTTTTGCCGATGGAACAAAATGCTAATATGCATATCAACATTCTTATCTGATTCCGACTGGTTGTATTTGTTAAAGCCAATGAGAAGTTAGTATATTGTGGACATCTTGCAATGTGAAACGACATCATTGGTTTTTACCGTTTAAAAGCTTTGCATAAATATAACTGTTTTTTCTTTTCTTTTACTTACTATCTGCCCAATTATATAAAACAAAAATATTGCTACAGTGTAAGACATGTTTCAGCCAATTAGAGGCCGTACCGGTCATGTTTTGGTGATCAATCGAAACAAAACTGGCAAGGTAACGGAAAGTGTGGTGACCCTTATAATCAATGCTCCAGCGGGTCATAACGGATAAGTAAACTCTATTTTTGACATAAATGAAATCAAATGTTAGTTAAACACAAATCTGGGTTAGTCTTAGCCTAGCAAATTGAGGGAGTAATACTTAACTCAATATTTATAAGCCAATAACACGGATTTCCTAATCAAATCAAACAATGTAATTTGTACACCGAAATCTGTGCGGGGCTATATTTACCACAATTGTTTTTACGTTCCTGATATTGTTTGTTATCGTAAACCTAACAAGACGTATTTTTTGTTCCCAATGACATATCATGAAACGAAGAAACAAAATCAAACTTAACGTTTGACACGTGGGCGCATACTTATTTAACATACTTCTCTTATAACAGAGCAGTTAGCAAGGAATATTGTCCTATTAGGGTTAAACTTTAACCGGGAAAACCATACCAATATCTGTTTCCAAATGTCTGTTACGAAAGTAACTTCTACTTTAATGTCATCACTGTTCGTCAAAACGTGGCAATGAATTGCTGGTATGGAATGTCTCCATCTAACGCGTCAATTAAAACAAAATAGACATGCATGTGAACATGTTAAACTGGGTACACATTTGGTGTAAGGAAACATACAAAAACGTACGAGTGAACAAAGCAGGAAACAATACGGTATTTTACTGAGCCATTCCATAAAAATGCAGTTAATATATATGTGTTAATATATAGAAATAAAATATTATGAGTGAGTCCATCATAACGGGTAAATACTGTCATTAACAAGGATAAGACAAAGAAATAAGATATACAAACCATTTTCGTTTAGTTATGCACTTCATGGAAAATCAGTACCCTTGTTCTCGACAAAATTCGAGAAATAGAAGTTATTATGTGGTCTGTTTGTTAACGGGAACTTAAATAATAAAAGAAAATGAAAGAAAACCATACAGTGATATTGATAATACTTTATCTGTTTTCTACACAAAATGAAAATTTAGAAAGTTTACCTGAAATGTATCATTTAAAAAAACAACACCAGCGAGTACTTTCTCATTTTGTTTATAAGGTGTTGTGCAAAACTTGATTTTGTGTAAAAAAAATTAAAAAAAATTGTATATAATCATCTGCTGGTATTGTTTCTCCAACTATCCCTTAAAAATTACATCTAAACATTTGTGGAGGGGTTAATTTTAGTGCAGTCGGTTGGTGAATTGATTCACCTTAATGTGCTGTAAACGTACTAAGATCTATAACAATCAAAAGTGTCTATTCCACGAACACCAGTTTGAAAAAAAACCCGAATGACGTATTTACTTTCAAATATTTCCTGGGCATGCAGCTGTAAACGACCTTAACAGTTAGTATCGGCGCGCTTACAATTATAGGCGTCTTTAACTATATTCCAGTTAATGCTAGTTTATCGTAAAAGTTCATTTCTTCCTGAAGATACATTGAACTATGGATACATTTCTACAAATGTTTGATAAGATTTAACATTGTTCTGTAACGTAGGCGAAAACCAAGAAATGAAGTGAAAATGACAGTATTTAAACAGAACTAGTGAAATAACGGAAATGAAATGTGAAATGGTACATGTAGACTCTTTCTGCACCACATATAGCACGTTCTTTTATAAATGCCGTTAAATCTAGACACAACATGCAGATCACCATCTTTCCAAATCATAATGAACACATTTATAATCAGAGTAGACATTGAACTAAGGCCTTGTTTATTAGTGTTAATTTCCGTCGACGTGGCAAAGCGAGGAGGCGTAACAACAGTTAATCTCCGATTATCCGAACATGTACTGTCTCACATGTAACAATGATCCTGCGGTATATTTCCTTTCCTGTCATGAAGCGTGGAATGTATTTGTCTTGGCTACCAGTCCACAGGGTTCAGTATATACGCCTCATTCTTTTTCTATATATTATCAACCGTTGACAGGAACCCAATTCCTCTATTTTTTAACATGGATCCAATTCTCCATGTTATAATACATTTGCCAATACACACTGCTCTCATCACCGGGATTGTTGATGCCTTCCTGTTGATAGGTGCCGGCTTCAGATTCCATATTTCCATGCCAATAAATACAGCTTCTTATCTACAATATACTATCGCATTTCCCTGATTTAACG